TTCATAATTTGGTATTTAATGGTTACTTAAGAAGTTTTCGACTATTAATACAAAACTTTTCCACTATTCACTTTCCAGAACAGTGATACATTTGGTAGAATCTCTATCTTTTAGCCAATTACTGTATGATACCAACTTTGAACATTTTCATATTAAACTTTGTAAATATTTTATAAATGTAAATAAAATAATATCTTTCCACGTTCAATTGCTTTATCATACCTAACTTGTTCACGTACCATTTATTCACTGAATTCATTTTGAGAAAATAACCCTCTTACTCACATCAATTGTTAGACTGCATCGTTATCTGTGTATTTGGTGACATCATCGTTTTGAAACGAAAGTGAAATTTTTATTGAGTAAAACAGAATATTTTGTAAATTGTAAGCGTAAGCTCTTCACGTTTGATTTTTAGTAAAACCTTAACACTTGCTGCATAATTTTTCACATATTTTCGGTAAAGAACCTGAGAGTTGAGAGATCACGCGATGTTTGTGGTCAAAAACAAGTGCGAAGAACCCTTATCATGACAGAAAAACTAAATTTTTATTTCTAACAAGCCAATAATTATCGAAATACAAATTAGATATACAATTATCTTAAAAACAAGAGCACATTCAATATCCTCATGATTAAGATCGTACACTTAAAAGCTTTAAAATTTTCTAAGATATTCAGGGCAACAAAAAAAATTCTGTTTTTGTAGAGCTGTATTATATATTAAATAAGGTCCGAATTAAAGAAGTTGAATACCTTATTCGTTATTCTTAGAATAAATTATAAGTATTATACCTTCTTCTAGGGCTTTAGACTAGCCTAAGCGCTTGAGTGTAAACGAATTGCGTAATTCTTAAATAGAAAACTCCGTGGCTATTCTTGAAATGGCCACGTTGCGGCAGTAAACGAATATATTCAGGTATATATAGATCTTGCAAATTCCCATACTTGACATTAATCTTATTTATATATTTATTTTTGTATTTCACTTAAAGTAGCCAGAAGAAGCCTCAGTATACACTTACCTACCTTTGGCTACATTAAACGGAATGACGCAGCTTATACCGATATTCAAATATCGATGGGTAAACCTTGAATGATTTTACGACCACAGTAACCGGCCACTTAAAAATGCAATTTTCATTCAGCATTTGGCTATTATCCCACACACCTTTCCACGGCTACGTAGCAAATTACACCAATCGCATTCTCTTTTCGACAACTTCTATTACATTCAGTTGATTGCCGATTTTTCTGCTTGCTCACAAACCATTAGTTTTTATGCATTCACGAATCTGTCATTAGTTTTTTCCATTTTACGTTTCAGCGGAAAAAGAAGTTACATACACATATATCTGTATGTGCATCACAGGGCCAAAGCGCAGACAATGTACTTTACTGCTGCTCGAATGAATGGTAAAATGGAGTCCAGCAGAGAGAAAGCCGGTGTTTTATAAACCGCAGTGCGGCGTGTAAGTGCTGCGAATAAAGCAAAAAATATGCGGAAAAAAACAACACATCAAGATTATGGTAATTTAATGGAAAAAGCATGCAATGTTTGTCATCAATTTTGTTCGAAATGCATATCTCGCCGCTAACAATTTCCGCTTTACGTTTTTCTCCCGAATATTGTATTTCACTCTCTTTGATTTCTACTTTTCCGCTAACGATTTGCCAAGCATCAAAGCATTTTTCTCTCGCCATGTAAATGGACTCCAAGGACTTCATTTAAATTCAACGGTAAATATAAATGGAAGTTAAAAATAAAATAAAATAAGTCATAAAAGCAAGAATAAATTGAGTGCTAGCAAAGCGGTTGGTTAACGCTGCAATGTGCCAGAGCTGTGTGTTCGATTGGTTTGATATGGCAGTTAGTTGTGGCATGAAAAAGTCATTAGTTGCGTGAAAAATTTGCTTCCGCACTATATTTTATCACTGTCAACATTCACGCTGTCATGCTGGTGTCTGTAGAAAACGAAAAAATAGTAAAGTTTAAAAATAAATAAAATTGCTCTCGCTGGTACCAAAGTTTAAATAACATACTTTGCTGAATACATTGCAGTCCGGGACTCTTTTCACGGCATACAACTTAGTCCATTTTACAGTAGTTTGATTATCCATATACTTGCGGAAAAAAAATTAAGATCGACACCGATCGTAACTCTGCCCTTCCTGACTATTAAAATCGTTTTCGGTTCCACGATAATTTTACAGCAACTTCGTTTTCTTCTTCATCCTAATCAGTCTCATTGATTTCTGACATTTTAACAAACCTTGACTTTAGTTTATCGCTTTTTACTACTCTGTTGAATTTAAGATGCATTGCAATCGTTCTCATCTTTGATGTATCTGTCTTAGCGTAGTTTCTTTGAGTAAGTCTCGACTTTTCGATATTCACCGACACTTGTAGTTGTGATAATATGAAATTGGCCTCATTGTTTTGCCTGATTTCACTTTTCATTGTTATTTCTTGAAACTGAAAAATTCAGAACTTGAAAAATTATCGTTAATGGGTCGTAAAGGGAAGTCGAAAACAAGTTCTAATAGCGAGCATTTGATAGTGAAAATTTTGCAATCACTTCTCGTTTTGAAATTGCGATTTTTGGAACCAGTGACTGGGCGACACGATACGTGGGAACCAAGAATTTTCCCTAATTCTCTTAATTTTTGATGACTTATATCATCTCACCATAATTTTAAAATTTGCTTTCGGAGCCTTTAATTATACAATGGATCACTTAAAAGCTCATCTAAATTATAAATTATAAACTTTCCCTTTATTAGAACCAATGAATTTTTAATTTATGAAATATTTTATAAAACACAATCTACACCACGCAATCGTATACGGGAGTACCGAAACCCATTAAGTTAATTTATGAATTTTTTGATTTTTGTTCCACTGGTACTTGACTCATAACAATGAATTTGATGCACCATTGCATAGTCATAATCTAATAACCTCAACATCCATTTAGTTACGCTCTGAATTTTAGTATTTTTTCCTTAACTGAAGTAAGTGAACTTTCGAGGTATTTATTATATGAGTGTTTTGCTGTATGCCAGTCAGGATATGATCTCGTAGTGGTACTCAATAGTGTTCGAGCGTTCGCTTGTGGGTCCAAGAGGGAACAGCACGTAGTCAAATGTACTCGAAATTATCAACTATCCATCCATCAACGAATAAATTCAATGATTCTAGTTTCCATGAGGTTCTTATCGTGCTGTTCTTGTAGTTGCAAGAGTGGTGCCAAAGTATTATTTTAAGAGCTCCATTTCTCAAGTTCTACAAGGTGCGTTCCAAAGTAAACAGTAAAAAAGTAACAAAGTAAACTCTAGTGGCGCCATCTATATGTCGACTAGTGCGTTAGAATCTGCTATCCTTTATCGACTTCCAGTAAAAATTTCATGACATTGAAATCATGAAAATGAGCTTCGAACAAAGAGCCAACATTAAATTTTGTTTTAAAATTAGTAAAACTTTTACCAAAACGTTTCAATTGATGAAACAAGTTTATGGCGATGATTGTCTATCCCGTAGCAGAGCGCATGAGTGGTTTCAACGCTTTCAAAGTGGTAGTGAGGACATAAATGAGAAATGAGCCGAAACCCAAAAAATCGCGCCTGGAGAAGTTAAAAGTGAAGACAATGCTGATTTGTTTTTATGATTCCAAGGGTATTGTCCACAAAGAATTTGCTCCACCCGGCCAAAACGTTAATGCGGTATTCTACCTTGGAGTTTTGAAGCGTTTGGTGCGCCGTATTTGACGTGTTCGGCCCGAAAATCGCAAAGATGGAAGTTGGCGTTTGTGGCACGGTAATGCGCCGTCTCGTCGATCAACGCTTGTGACCGATTATTTGACCAAAAATCACATTTTAACAATGAACCACTCCCCGTATTCAACTGATATTACACCATGCGACTTCTACCCTTCCGGAAAGGAAAGCATTATACAGACGTGGAGGCCATTCAAAAGCCTTGCACCGACATACTGGCGGCCATACCGGGCAACGAGCTAAAACACTCGTTCGACATGCTTTTGGACCGTGCAAAAATCTGTATTAAAGCAGAAGGAGACTATTTTGTATAAAATTAATTGATTTTGTATTTGGCATTAGCTTAAACGCCTACCGACTTCGGGCTGTTATCTATACTTTTAATAAAATATAATATCTCCTACTTTATATTGTGATGTAAAAATAGTTTAATTTTTTTATTTATTTATTAGGAGAAATATACATTATAAAAGACATACACATAAACTCATTTTTTTTTTAGTTTATAAGTGTACGAGCTGATATAACAAACTAAATATAGCGTTATATTGTATTTTGTAGGTTGCAATCGGTTATAAAGTTTAAAATACTCATAATATTTGCAAACGCAGGAATTTTAACAGTTCTTGATAATTCGGTTGAAGATGTGGTGAAGAGATAACGTACTTGTGCAGAAAGGGCACGATGGTTTTACTTTGCCAGTAAGGAGGAGTTGATGTGTGAGTTGTGTGTGGCCAATCCTTAGGCGTGTCAAGATGGAAGCTTGTGGTATTTCCCTAGGGTATACAACTTTTGTCCTTGTTTGGTTGAAAGTTGAGTACCGATGGTCGAAATATTTCCATTCCGTGTGTATAATTTTCTGAACGTAGCGATCCAACATATTGCAGATGACGTTTCTGTCATCTGGCGCATTTAGTAAGGTTAGTGCTGATTCAAAAAACCGAGCTGCATGGTCTACATATTCATTTCTCATAATACCAACATATCCTGGTACCCAAAGAAGTGCGAATTCATGGCTGTATTTAATGCACAGGTCACGGATATTTTAAATCAGTGTAGCAGTGTTGCGGATGTTACAAATAGCATATAAGCAAGAAAAGCTGTCCGAACAATTAACAAACTTGCCTTTGGTTTGTATCGCATATTCTAGTGCTTTTGAAATGGCAAAAGCCTCGGTTGTAAATACCGATGATAAGGAGGTTCTAACAGCTTCAGGTTAGAATAAAAATGTGGAATGCTTTACGATTTTGCGTGTCATCCATGCTAATCTTCTCTGTAACGTTCCAATGTTAGTATATGTAGCTGAAGCTAGAACAATGATGTAAAATAACTTTTCAAAGTGACTTCTTATTAATTCAGGAAGTGCTTATTATCTTTATTATCCGTTATGAGCCTCCAGTGGATGTAAATATGTACAAGTATGTAAATATTCATGTATTCTTGTAAAAACTAGTGTAACTCTAATTAGTTTCACACCTATATATGAGAAAATAAGTTTTTATTTTTCACATGTAGAAAAAGCGTTCTCCGCCAAAACCGCAAGCCACCAATTTTAAAATGAAACTATGCAAATTATCTTCACCAAAGGTTGCACAAAAAAGTAAATATTCACCGCAAGTGTTGCTCCTCTACAATATATTCTATACTACATACGAGATTCCCAACAACAGCTTCTGCTCACTCAGTGTGTTTGTATGTCCCGATAAACTTGTTGCTCTAAAATACAAACCGCAAATTATGATTGTGCAACATCCACAAATTGCTTTGCCCACCAGAGCGCACAACAAAGTATGAAGAGTAGGCAAAAAACAAAGACAATATATAGGAACTTTCATTTATATATACACACAAGTATACTGGGATACTGAGAGACATAGAAAAGATCAAATCGTAAAGAGTACAAATCTGATAAGGACGCTAAGTATGGCAATGACTCGGACTTGAAAATGGATAATACTGCTAAATGTGCATCAAGGTTAAATATCAGTAAATTTTTCTTTGAAAACAAAATATGTATAATTCTGTTCTATTGTTCTATTATTATTTTTAACTTTTTATTATTTATCTCGGTTTGCTCTTCAAGCACCGAAGAGATTTCGAAAAGGCCCCTGAAAAAGCACAATTCACTAGCAAGTGCAGAGGAGAACTTTCTACTTCTCGGCACTAGAAGAAGGAAAGGTCTAGAATTTAATAGTATATTGTCTTCAATTGACTTCATAGCCAAGGTCCGAATATATAATATAATAAACGATCGTCTTGTCAAAATGCCTGTACTTTATTTCTTAATTTCGCTGAGGACTAAAAGGAAATGTTTTCACTTATTTTGGTAGATATAGCCCTAGATGTTTGTAAGATATGTATGTACATCTAACCTATTAGGGCGGATGCTTTTCAAAAATTTGCTATGATGCTCTTTACCAAATTTTAGTTTTGTGACTTAGCTATAGCACGTCATAAGTTTTCGACTAACGGCAGTTTTTGTGCGTGGAAATAGTTGGATTTCGTTCAGTATCATTAATATATTTATATCAGACAGACAGACAACTGAAATTTAATTCGACTCATCATTCTGATCATGTTCATATACCTATATATGAAATTTCTTTCTATTTGTGTCAGGTATGGTATAACAAGATATCGTAACTGGGTACATTAAGCTTGTTACGAAGTTTATAAAATCCAGAAGAAAACGTCGGAGGCCTCATAAAATATATGTTTATATAAATGAACAACGTTAACTAGTTCCTCAATTTTTGAGATTTTATATATGAGTATGACACCTGGTATGTTAACCATGATACTCAGTTCACACCTACGATATACTCCGGCTTGACTCAAGCTGATTGTCAAGCTTTTTGCCTCAATTAGTACTTAACAATTTCGCTGACATTAAAAATAGTTATAGTAATAGTATTCTGGCTGACATGTCATACTCACGAGCTAATTTCATTCCTTTCACCGTCATTCATACAGCTTCGTAATCTACTCCTTGTTGTTTTGTTTTGTTCGCTACTTCCTACTGGCCTTAAGCTCGTTTTTCTCTCTTCTACCTGCCATATTTGGAGTTTTTGCGCGTTTGACTCGTTTGCCTCGTTTGCTCATTTGTTTATTCGCTAAATTACCCTTGTCCGAGTGAAAAGGTTAATTATGGTCAAAGGATATATCCGGTTGCCATGCCAGCTTGTTGACTTGCTGACTTTCGTGCAGATTGTTTTGCAATGTGGCTGTGAGAATGTTATTTGAAGCCAAGTGAAATAACAGAGGCAATGGAGAATTTAATTTCAACAAGCCACTAATGCTGAGGACAGTACCTATGGTATCTAAAAGGAACATACTTACACATACTACTTATATTCATACAAACACATGTACATTTGGTATTTATGTACGAAGACAATTCATTTCGGTCGCCTAAAATAGAGTCGAAATAGGTCAAACTTGTTGACAGCTAATAAACAAAATATCATATGTCCTTGTATATTCAATAAGCGAAAAAAAATCGAACTTACCTATGTAGAGCACTTCGATTGGAAGAATATGTACACTATACTACTACTCATGAAATGCTTTCGTATGCAGTTGTTTTTGTTAAGCCATCTCTTTTAATGGGCAAACTTATTGAATTGCCAGCAACAGAGAAAGAAAAAATACGACCGACTATATTTATTAAATTACCTCTTCAGCAGCAATAATCGTCGTTTGTAGAACATTACAGTACACATATATAGTGAGGGTAATTTGAACTATAATCGATATAATGTATTTCAGAATGTTTTTTTAATCGTAACGAAATGTCGAATCACACATAAGGGTGTTCTACTAAACATACGACAATTTACAAACAATTTATGCTGGGAACTTAAATACTATTTAATTGTGGCATTACGGGTTTGGTAACACTACTCTTCTAGAAATTGTATATCTCTAACTTCGCATTACTAATAGTATGAACAAAATGTAGTTTTGCATAAGTTCATCTCACATTTCAAATAACTGTTGGATCGAAGAAGATTAGATTGTATAGTAATTTCTTCGGAGTAACGAAAATTTGGTTGTGGTCAAGAAAACATTTCCACTTAGTTTCAATTAAATATCACACACATCGATATAAAATTAGCCGCAGGTACTCCTGGGGTCTTCAAAAGTTATGATCCGATTTCGCTCATTTTATTGGCGCTTTATATAGAAAGAGTAGTAAATTTCAAAATAATCTTTGTAAGAGGCTAGATTATAATGTGATTATAACCCGATTTCTTCAATTTTCATACCATATAAGGAAATGTCGGAAAGAATTGCAAAACTACAAAGTTTGATCTAGACTGATACTCGAGATGGTGTATGTATGTCGACAAAGTGCTTTGAGTCCAATACAAATCTGCTTAGGCGTTTAGTTTCTATTCTCAACAGCGGGATATCTGAAAGTGTGAGCTCTCAAGCGGGAAAAGAAAAAAGTTTTGAAATGTTTCTACCTCGTGTTCTCCCATACAGCGTCGGAAACTGGCATCCGGTACGATTCTCAACCTTACAGCGTAGATGCGAATAGAGTAATGATCTGCCGGAACCCATAGAACTAGGAAGAGGATAGCAATATGGAGGTCAAAGAGCTTACTGGGTCCTAGGTCAAAAGGATCAGTGCAAAAACCAATGTTAGCCAAGCGCTGTCCAAAATCCCGAGAAGCCCAGCTATCAAGTAGTACAGCGCACAATGAGAGCGGAGCAAGGACTCGTTAACAATCTACTAATAGCGGGAATAGAGTGTCTTTTCCTCGCAAGTATGTGGACAGAGAAAATAATAACAGAAAATCAAAAGATCTGCTATGAAGTCAAAGAGTCCGGAGATTTTCGAATATTCAGATACATGTTCTTTTAGAAACCCAGATTGTATGAAGGCAAGCATCGGAAATTTAACTCGTCTCTTCATCCTCATTAGTTGTGACTATGTACGACGACCGTACCTATATTTTTGTTGGTGCATTGTTTTCACTGAGCTTTCAAGATTTGTAAGTCCCTGTTTTATCAATAGCGTAATTGAGAGAGGTTGCTAACTAAATCGAGATACCAACGATCGGATATTTGAAACTGAAATAGGGCGGTCTTACTTCTGGCTAAAGCGTATTTTATCATTATTTATTTGAAAATTGAATAAACTTTGATAATATTGAGATGTGAAAAAGCTTGCAATATTTTTAACCGATAATTCAGCTTAAGAAGCTATTATATTGGCTTGGCATCCAGATTTCTAAGTCATATATACAGAAAACTTAATATCCTACTCTCTTAAAATGTAAAGATAATTCATATCATAGGCGAAACTTATAGTGCCTACTCACAATCAATTTATTTTGAGATAATTATCGGATCTTAGGACAATACCATTCATATATCTTGATTATAACTACAAGATTTTTATTTTCCAATTGCTAGTTGAAATCCAATTTATTCTGCAGACAAGTTTCAATATTCTCCTGATGGAATAGCTCTCTACGCTTTTAATTTACGAGCACTATGGTAAGCTTCATGAATTATTGTTCATTTATCATATTATCTATACGAATAGCATTTATGTATGTACGTACATACATATATCTTAGATAACTAAACCAACACTCTGGCAGTAGAGCGACCATTTCTCAATGCCAATATTTTCATATCGGCCAGCCAAAATCTTTACCAAACAAACAGACAATCTGTCAACGCGAATTGAGCAAACGATGCGCTATCAAAATTTATTAATCTGGGAGAAAAGAAAAAAAATTATGTTTTCATTGCTTGGTTAGGAGCGCGGAATTGCATAAAGATTGTAAAGAATGAAAGCAACTAGTGAAACAAGAAACGGGGGGCTACGATATTTTTCAGTGATTTTTGTATCAAAAACAAGAAAAGAACTAATTTTTGAACTTATAATTTATAAAACATAACAAACTTTTAAACTTTATCTGACTCTTTCACTTTACAGTGTAAAAAAAGTATTAAAGCATTTAATCTAACGCACAAAAATTGTCGAAATCGGACTATAAATTTTCAAGGACCCAGACACCAAATAGGTGGACACCAGTGCTTAAAGCTGATTTGATACCGAACATATCGGTAAGTCTATAAGTTCTAGTATCGAAATTCGTGGGAATATTTTTGTGATAACTGCATACCCTGTTACCAAAAGCCCAGATGCCTAATATAAATATTTCCGAACATCCGGTTGATTTTATACCGCAGCTATCGATCAATATCGGTCAATGTTAGAAATCTTAATGAAATGCCGAAAGATTTTCTTTCTAATAATAGTGTATCGTCTTGCTTGTAATTTTAAATAAT